ACAGAGAATAGTTCGAAATTACTTTCAAGGCACCACGACAAAACAAAAGCTACTCACGCTACTGTGGAAAATTAGTGACTGAGCAAATAAATAATGAATAAGACAACAAATAAAACAAATAACTATTGATGCTTTTCATACAAACAAGTTAATCTTAATTATGATAAATAAGATCGATTAAAAGACGCGCATTATACTATTGCTAGTGCTGAGTACAAAGTAATTTCAAAACGAGCAGCAAAATCGAGCGCTCTAACAGTCAGTTCGGATTCAAGCTCGACTTATTAGTCGCTTTATTTGCTGTTTTCTTGCACTCTTGGTCTTGTATAGTAATTAAATATGGCGCCAACATTGAAACTAGCGTCAATGCAGGAACTTCCCCTCAAGCATTATTTCAGGAGGTGCTATCGTTTTTATACCCGCAGGTGCTTGCATCTTTGATCTCCATACATCTCCATACAATCTAATCTATCTACGTGATCGCCGATCAGTCAGCACAGTCTTCAGGCAATTCCGTCTGGATACAACAGAAGCCGTTCATACAGCCGATAATTCTGTTTCTAGTGCAGAAAAGGTTCGTAAATTTCACTTCAAATATCTAGATGTGTGTACAATTATAATTCGATTTAAATATTTAAAAACATTAAACATATGTGATATTATATCGATACTAGTTTAACCCGTGCCTTCGCTATCGCAGTTGAATAACTATAAACGGTGCAAAAGCATGATCTCGCCCAGTCGAAAACGGCTGCAGTATAGTCAATTTAATTCTGAGCGCCCAACACTTATCGAATAGTAATACTTAATAGGCAATCTTGCGGCTTCTTCACTGGCTCTACTGCCAAATTACTTAATTATATATCAGAGCTCTAATTAGGGGAGCTGTAAATGGGGAGAGATAGTGTGAGAAAAAGTGAGACACTTTAGTACATGGGGTACAAAACCATCAATTAAACCAATCATCACCGGCCGATTTAGAAAAGCTTTGCTTATTGGCTTCGTCAGAGATTTGTCTAAACTATACCGAAAAAAGCACTCCCATAACTCTTACCGTTTTCTTGATTAAGTCGTTCGGAAATTACAGTTTACACACGCACAGACACACATTTTGGGATTATTCTTATTAGTATACATTATTAAAAACCTCCTGCAGTTGCTTTAGGCATCCATAAATGACATAAATAAATTTTGAAATGACTCCAAGTATAAGTTAAAGCCGGCCCTACACAGCTAGTACTGATTCCTAGGTTACAAGCCGTCCAAACTTGTGTACTGCTAACAGCATTCTAATGCTCTGCGGTTGATTTACAATCTCTTAATCCCCAGGTGAGATGAAGGAACAGGTTCAAGACGAGCGCTCAGCACCACTCAATTCCTAAGTTGGTGATCGACTCCCTTAAAGGCCCTCTATATATCTACATGCAGCACTCTTGATCCCTTAAAAGCTCTCTTTATATTAAGTATCTACATTCTACATGCAGCAATACAGGTATGTTGAGTTTCCTGTTATCAATTTTATAATACAGGCTGTATCATTATAATATTATTATATTAGAACGGTTCACAGGCTGCATCGAGCTATCATTTAACTCGCTCCTTTTTTAATCAACCTAAGTCAAATTTGCCTCATTTTTACTGTGCCCGATGCTAAAATATACATTTACCCATGAATCATTATCAGATGCTTGTCAGCTCTTGGAATCTTTCCAAATCCCAGTGGAAAAGAAGTGTTTAACCGAATTATTGGAGCGAGCAGTACCTAGATCTAATATTATTTCCTTTTATGGACTTTGGAAACAGCTACCAGATGTGCTTTAAAACTTGATGTAAACTAGAAATTTAGAATTTTCGGACATGTTATTGGTGTTGCAGAGACAAATCAACCAACCAATATGAAGCTGAGGAGTGGGGTGGAAATAATAATATTACTGCTAAATCAGCTGGAAAAGGTGGTGATGTAAGGGAAATAATGACATTACTGCTAAATCAGCTGGAAAAGGTGCTTTCTGACTCTCTTTGACGAATAATATCGCTGAGCCCTGATTAAGTATAAAGTTGGTGAGAGCAAACTTCTTCAGAATGACTTCATGTAAGATGTCTAAAATCCAGAAATTGAGCATACAGAATACAGATGAACTCAAAAGTGGAGCCTCATCGTCTTTGGGGATATATTAAAATGAGGTGGTCCGTGGTCTCGGAGAAAACGGAGGTTTATCCTCTAGGCTAGGTATCATATTGAAATACGTTATACAATTGAAGCATTTATTTTACAGTTAGTATAAAAAATAGCATAGTATTTTGGACATGTTGAGCCCATTGACGTGATTCTTGAAATAGCATACTAAATACGAAATACATACTTGATACAATAGCAGGAATCATGCCTTTAAAGGAGCTATGGACTCGTTTGGGGTGGATGTTGTATTTTAACAACTACGTGGTATTTTGCTATTTTGCTATTCACCTCAGTATGCCTTGCAGTGCATGTGTTTACTCTCCATTCGGCTACGTCCCCGTTCTTAGGATGATTTTATTTAGTATAATTACTCTTTCAGGTCTCTCTTATTGTAAAATGTGATGCTAGAATGCCAGGTGGCCTTTATATGACTGCAGAATATTTGAAGCTAAAATATGGTAAAACTGTAATACTTTTAAAATCTAGAGCATCTTTGAAGACGAGTTCGGTATGTTTATTATGTTACTTTTATCATATTCACGTTTATTTATATCGTTCATTACATAGTTATTGTTGAATATTGATCATTTAATTATTAGATTTTAATATTCTACCAATTACACTCGGCAAGTTATTGTTTTTACTGTTCCTACAATCGTATGGTGTCGTTATATCGTGGTGTTACCTATTGTTAAACAATGATTCAATTGTAGAAAGTGACTTGTTGCGCAACAATAGCTCATATACATATTAACAAAGGACTGTAACTTTAACTGGTAACATCATGGTATTACGTGATTATACATTTTGAAAGGCATAATTTTGAATAATTTTGGCTTAAAATGCCACTACGTAGACCCTAGTATTGATGATCGTTTAGCAAACTTTGTTTTACCCGTGAAATCTACTGGATAACGTTATACAGTATATTAGCACCATTGGTTTATTTTTGTTGTGACATTTGATAAAAATTGGTTTATTTCAGGAACAAATAATGATACAACCGACTTAACAATCTCTTCGTGTAGATTTCATGAACTGAGAAGAAACAAATCCTTGGATCTGCACAATTACTCCTCCCAGTCTTGCTGACATCATGGTTTGTTCCTTTTTTTCTCGATTGTTCTACATATTATTCGGTATTTTGAAGCTTATTGATAAGAACAATAAAAGTGCTAAATGTTTGGCTCTCCAGAGTCGTGTACAAGATTATTATATACCTATTGTATTCTAATTGCTAAAATGTTCGCTCTGTTCTGTGTTGTTTGTTACGGTGTGCACTGTGTATTCAATATGTTTGCATTAGGAAAATTGCGTCTTGATGCCCTCCTGAAAGTCACCGCTTGTCATTTGTGTGTGTCTACCGAAATTAAACAAGTTTCAGATAATAATTGTATGTCATGTTTAATAATTATTAACCTTTGAACAACCTCATCGAATTTACGCTCAACAAATATTATAATATTGGTTGATAATATTGAATATTATAATCGTTCTAAACCTCCTTATAATTTGACTCCTTTCTTCATAATATAGCACACGTGCTCCCATAGTCATTAGTAAATACAGTATGATACTTGTTAATATCATATTGTGCTATTGTTGAATGTTGTCGTTATGTGATTATTTGTATTATTGAAACCCCACTTGAAAAAGTATGTTAACGATTTGAATTTGTAAAAGAATGAGCTTCCGCCTAAAATAGCCCGATTTTAGTATCCACCTCGCCTTTTGTGTTTTGGGATAATCAAAATTCTGAGATTTACAGCTACTCAAACCCGTCATTCGGGACAAATCCAGTCAGCTAACCCTGGTGAAAATGTATCACAGTTAATGTGCAACAATTATATCACTTCTACTTACTGTCTTACATCACATGAAGAAGTTAATAATTTATATTATCCTCACTTTACATTTGCTGAACTCTCTTCTTATTCTGACAACTAATTTATCAAATATTTTTAAAATCAAGTATTATCAGTTAGTGAGTAATATAATGTTCATTGTTCATACTATTTGTTCATTCTTTGTGTAATCCTAGGCCTATTTTACCTGGGAACCATTTTTAGTTTCCTTTTTTTTCATCGTAATATCATGGTAAAAGTATCTACGGGCTAAAGCTAGACACTTTATTTGAAGCACAAGGCCACAACATTACGTTACAAATACAAAGAATTGTTCTTCACATTTCTTATAATTGATCTAGTATCTTTGTTTCACACAATAGAGCATAAGTTTTGTGGTTTATCCACTGGGCTTAGAGTTTGTGTTTAAGCTACCAAATTTTATTATTATTATTTTATTAATTAATAATTACAACATCATCTATTAATTGACCGTTTCACCTCAAAAAAGTTGTATGCTGGCGGAAAATTTACCTCGCTATTAATCAGTTTAACATTGTTTTATCACCCCACGCGCACGTGTTTATTGTTTATTAAACATACTGGGCACTGGCACTAATTATAAGATTAGTTCTCTTTTATTTCTCGTATATTATCATTCGGTTTATTTCTAGCGTTTCGACTACTTATTTAAAAAAAACCAATTTCAATTTAAAATACCTTATCGGACTTCATTTGACCGGGCATTGCGTGAACGGACATAATTTTAAACGGATATTGAAATGAACGCTCGACGGCATTCATAACCAGTATTTAATTTAACTACCTTATCGGACTTTATTTCAACGGAAATTAAAATGAACGCTAGGGCCTTCAGCGTCCAATTAATGTCCGTTCCAATCTTACTATATATAAAGCGAGACGATAAAGCGAGACGATAAAGCGAGACGTTTTAATACTTTCAACACTATTATATAACAAATAATTTGAGAATTGATGTAAATAAACGATGCAAAGACTTTCGAAGATCTAATCACAACCGCTTTCTTTTATTGTGTAGAAGTCCAGCCATGAAATATATATATATCTGTGCCATTTTACTGACACCACGGCATCAACTTTAACGCAACTTTCCGCAAAAACCGTAAAAGATATACAACTGAAACTTTTTTGACTGGGTTAAATGCTTTAATGGCCTTCAAATCAGCATGAAAAAATAAAAAATTGGCCAAGGAATAATAATTTTAGTGCCCAAAATTTGGACTCCCAAGTGGTGTCAAAAACGCGAATTAAATAGGTAATAATTATTTTAGTCTCTCGAGTCTTGACACCACTTTAGGGTTAGACGGGTTCCTGCTAGTAAATATAAAGTCCGATTAGGTAGATCGAAGAGCAACTGCCATGTCCTAAACTTTCATATTGATGATCTGGAATCTAGCCAATTCTGTCTTAATGCTCATCCGTACTTTTCAGAACATTGTCCATCCTCTTTATCGGGACTCAATATTAATTAGACATATTCAATTCAATACTGGAAGCATTCCTCTCTTTTCCACATAATTATGATAATTATAATACATTTTTTGCTCACCAATCCTCCTAGGTTTGTTACCTTTCAAGGAAAGTTTCGACTACATGCCTGAATAGACGTCCCAATTACATCGTCAGAGAAGAATTATAAACCTTTACATAGCCTCTTGACGTAACTCAAACACTCACGTGACACATTGACTGAAAAGTGGTTACCTAATATGTGAAGGACCACTAAGGGAGTAATGTGGTACACTCTCACTGATCGTGAATGGCACATGTTTTAAGAGGCTCTTAGTATGCCGTCTGCAGAAACTCTGAGAGTGAGCTCTAGTTACATATTATGTGTTTCTTTAGAAATAAGTCGCTGTATAAAAGTTAGAGTTATTGTTGTTTTAGTTAGTGGTTTGTATGCGATGTGGGGAAGGTTTTCATTGTTTCTTGATTCAAATTTACGTTTCTTTTCTTTTTTCTGCAACAGTTTTAACAATGTCAAGATTGTTAAAGTCTCAACGTGTCTCGTCCTTTGTGGTCGAAACTGACGCAGAAACTATCATGTAATACGTGGACTGTGCGTAAGTTTTCGTGGTTTGAGAGGATTAGGTTGAAAAATGTTAGAGTTTCCGCACAGTCTTCGCTTTTTTTCAATCTTACCATGTCAATTTTACCATAATCTTCTGTAGTTGTCCATTTGTTAATACTTTCTGTATTTGTTAAAACTTTCTGTATTTGTTACTTGAAAAACTCTTTATTTGCTACCAAAAAATGTCTCTGTCTGTTGTAATATTGTTTTTATGCAAATATTTCCTAGTTATACGCTGCCCTTTGTATAACTTCGGTTAGGATCAATTCTCCTCTTGTGGTCAAGTGTCTTGTCTAATTACAATCACTACAAATCTATTACATTTATTGAGGACGTTCCAGAAGGCAGTGATGCACGCCGCCGCCGGACGCCGCCGCGCCGGCACATTTTCACACGCCGCCACGCCGATACCTCCGAAGTCGGCGTAGCGTGAAAATTTAAAAAAATTTCAAAGCAAATTTTTGTTGCTACTTTTCCCATTCTTAGTAAGATTTTTCGAATCATTCACTGCATACCAGCTACTAGTTCTGAAATAGAAAGAGTATGGAGCCAGTCGGGGTTGATTTTGAACTCTATCTAGGAGATCCAAATTGTCAAACGACATTGTTTAGAATTTGATTTTTCTTAAATATAATTGGGACAATGTGAAGTCATCCTGAATGTAACTGAGTAGACTGAATAATGTTTCTTTTAACAAAAGGAAGACCTTTTTCTTGTATTAGCCGTTTAATATGAACATTCCTATTTATTGAAACTTAATAGGAATTAGGAATTAACAAAATTAGGTCATATTACAATAACAGTGATTAGGTCACATTACAATAACATTGATTCCAGGTATTGTAACACTTAAAGTCATTATACTCATGAAAGTACAAACTAGAGTTTTCTGATGGTAGCATTGATAATTGTAGTTCAGCGGGTGGATGTCGTATTTTATGGGGCTACTCGCTGCTATGAGGCCACTTCGTTACATTCATCATCACAATCACATTCAGCCACGCGACGTTTTCGCCATAAATGCTGTAAAAACCATACTTGTATTACACTATTATTTCATGCGCAATTTTTGTGGGCCTGGAAATTAAATTTTGACAAAATTATGTTCCACGCCGCCGAACGCCGCCACGCCGGGCCATTTTGGGCACGCCGCCGCCGGTTGGCGAAAAATGAACCGGCGTGCATTACTGCCAGAAGGAATGTATTGAATGTAGTTATTGAGGAGTCCTAACTCACCTCACGTCCGTATTATGGAGTTTTCTTTGTATTATATATATACTAGAAAGCCCGTGGTAACAGGGATGAAGCTTGTATAAGTAGTATTATTTGAAAGAAAGTTTTAATCGCGTCAAAAGATATCCATCCCAACCGAAGATACGGCCGATTTAAATGTTAAACACTTTAAACACACAACGTAATTGTGCACGTGCTCATTCAAACACCGTTGCTATGCAACTTTTTTTATACCTAACTTCATATTTCTCGTCTGATTTGCACGTGGGCGGTCGTACAGTGTACAGACAAAAAGAATTTTCTGAATTATAGTAAAGATTAAGTAAATCTGAAATCTCCGTCTCACAAGGAATCATGAAATCATTATCCAATTTACTTTAAGAGGACCACAAAAACGCCGTAACACAACGATAATTGATGCAAAACTGTGAATAAAGCTATTATATATATTGAGTTTTGTGGTATTGAAACGGCTATTGCTTTGATATCCATACCTCTTAATCTAATAGTAAGCATATGATCGAATTTTATTCAACCGACCCACTTCAGCCAGTTTCGTTCCGTTTCCACAAAATATTCACAGGCCGTGCTTATTCTTGAAAATGAGACATATCTTGAATTTTAAATTAATATCGTAAAGGTAAGCGATCCTCAGGATTGCATTGCCTTAGTGTTGCCACGTACTCTTCACCCTTACTGTCCTGTAATCCTACACGCCCTCCCGGCTCCCCTAGCCTCACTATCTACTCAATTTACCATTTGCTGTTATCATTCCCCCTTCCGAGTTGTGCGTACTATTTTATTCCATTATCTACCTCTCCTCACGACTTTACGTGTCCTCATAACATCAGTATCTTCCCTCATAATATTTGTAACTTTGCCTCATAGCATTTTTCCATTTTCTTGCTTTGTTTTGTAGTCTCAAGACAATTATTACACACGTACCGTTAGCCTTGTTCTCTACCAAAGGAAGGATTTATCCGCTGGCACAGACTGAATGGTACATTATGGTACATTATTGTACATTATTGTACATTATGGTACATTATTATATGGTACATAATGGTACATAATGGTACATTATGGTTCATTATGGTACATTATGGTTCATTATGGTACATAATGGTACATTATGGTACATAATGGAACATAATGGTACATAATGGTACATAGTGGTACATAATGTTACATAATGGTACATTATAATTATTTCTTAAAATATGTGTTTGTTCTCTTCTCTTAAACAGCTTTAGCGACAACAGACGATCACGACCAGTATCAATTGTTTAGAATTTGGCAGCTCTCGGGTCCATTGTCATTAAAACTGTCTCTGAAAAAGATAACAAAGATATATGTTTTGTACTAATAATTAGTAATTACTGTGTGTTGGCAGACTGTAGATAAAGTAGCGCTTAGGCCCTCATAATGCGAGATGTGGACTATCACACCTACCAGTCACGTTTGTCTTATTGTATAAATTACTTGAGGTATCGATAAAATCATCAACCACACAGATTCACTTAACTTAAACCGATTGTGGCTGATCAGTATGTGATTTTGTGTCCTTGTGTACGGTACTTCTCACATTTAAGGTGGAAGATTAGAGCAATTCCGCACAGTCTTCGTAGTTTTGTCAACCTCTAAATTTATATCTTTGTTACCAAAACTTTCTGGCGTCTGTATTTGTGGTAACAAGGTATTTTAATGCGACCTTCTCCCAGAAATTGTTGGGAAATCAGCCATTGCCCTTTAAACAGCTGTAATTTCGGCTAGGATCAATATTTCTTGCTGTGGTAAATGGCCCAGTAGTACAAATCCAGGATTTCCATTGATGGTGGGAATTTTGGCAAAATTGTGGTTTTTCCGTTGACTTTTTTGTTATTTTAACGTGACTTCCTTCACCTCAGTATACACAGTACTGCTACTCTTGTATTTGTTTTTGCATGTAGTTATATTATGCCCCATTATGCCAGGAAGAATGTTACCATTTGGCGGCCGCTCTTTTATCTTTGAGATATTTCTATATTTGAATGAAGTGCCTTGGTCTAGATCTAGATGTAGACTTTACTATGATGGTTCAAATTACGCGTAATAAGGAACTAAGGTACGTTAGCTCTATATCAAATACCGTTTTACTATTCCGTCTTTATTATTCCGTCTTCGCCAGAAATCTGATCTGATCTCAGTGGACGCTCCCGATAAACTCATGTCTAATATTAGTATCCTACATATATAGATATCGTCAATAATTGTATTATCTCATTCCGGCTTTCACATTTCTTGTCCAGTTTCCAGGATCGATAAGAAATGAGTGGGTCCGCACCATCAACCCGTATTATAGCAATGCACCCTGTCTTATCCAGCTTAACTGTTCAACCGTAAACACCAAACTACAGAGTATTTTATTTTCTGCGGAACTAATATATATATATATAATAACGGTCAGGGTCATCACCGTTTAACTTCACTTCCTCTTTCTAGTAACTGCTCCGGCTCCTGCAGCCATCATTTCTGCAGGATTCTGTTCGTTTCGTCTGGTGTAGAGATTAAATAAATTCTTTTCCGCTATGTACTCCATTTTGTTGGTTTCTTTGAATCTGGTGATAAGTAAGATCTTGTGTACCACCAGATTGTACCACCAGATTGTACCACCAGATTGTACCACCAGATTGTACCACCAGATTGTACCACCAGATTGTATCACCAGATTGTACCACCAGATTGTACCACCAGATTGTACCACCAGATTGTACCACCAGATTGTACCACCAGATTGTACCACCAGATTGTACCACCAGATTGTACCACCAGATTGTACCACCAGATTGTACCACCAGATTGTACCACCAGATTGTACCACCAGATTATATCACCAGATTCAGAGAATATTAAGATAAAGTTGTGATTGATAAAATGTTGTTAAAGTAATCTTCAAGTTTAAGTATAGGTGGTCGTCTTCAAAGTTGCCATATACTTTACAGTTTACACTGACCAGGATAATTATCTTCTATTACCGTTAAGTTCCTAGCAATTTGTCTTTTATAAAAACAACATTGGGAAATTGTGGTTGTTAACATAGGCATAAACCTAGCTTACCTCCTACACTTAACTTAAGATATTTGACAATTGTTTTAGCTAGTAATTAGTAAAGATAAAGCTAGCTGGCTAGTATAGTGCCTTTTTAAATATTTTGTGAATGTCTTACTGAGCGCTTCTTAAAAGTTAATTGTCTTTCAATCCACAAATTGGTGGTTCGAATCACAGCGTCACCTAGGGAGCTGGAGTGAGCCAAATATTTTCGATGCAACCTCGGCCTCCCCGGTAACTCAGCCGAATGATCGGGAACGTGATTAAGTGTTGAATGGGCAAATGCACATTGCAGCGAAGGAAGTATGAAGTATACTTCCTTAACCGTCGCTGACCCGATCGTAACTGTACCCTCGACTCCTGTAATTACCCAGTTACATTGTAACCATATGACTGTTTGTATAGCCCGAACTAAAACAAGTAATAAAATACAGTACAGTTGATGGGGACACTCATAGAACCACGTTTATGATACCTTGCCAGATAAATAGCGAGGAGGATGTTAGTTAGAGATGTATTGAGGATGTTAGTTCCTTTTTAATTAGAACGGCCACCATCGTCCATCAGTGTTCACTATTAAGGCACCACGGGGACTGGTGTACATCGTTACAGTATTCCAGGCGAATTAGCTCTTGGTTTTATACGAACAATCTCTAGATATCTGCCATAAATTTAGGGGTAGTTATCTGGTAAACTGGTAGTTTGACTGTATCTTTAACTATAACTGCAGTGTAGAGCATTCTGCAGGGTAGTTATCTGGTAAACTGGTAGTTTGACTGTATCTTTAACTATAACTGCAGTGTAGAGCATTCTGCAGGGTAGTTATCTGGTAAACTGGTAGTTTGACTGTATCTTTAACTATAACTGCAGTGTAGAGCATTCTGCGGGGTAGTTATCTGGTAAACTGGTAGTTTGACTGTATCTTTAACTATAACTGCAGTGTAGAGCATTCTGCAGGGTAGTTATCTGGTAAACTGGTAGTTTGACTTATCTTTAACTATAACTGCAGTGTAGAGCATTCTGTAGAGTGGTAAACTGGTAGTTTGACTGTATCTTTAACTATAACTGCAGTGTAGAGCATTCTGTAGGGTAGTTATCTGGTAAACTGGTAGTTTGACTGTATCTTTAACTATAACTGCAGTGTAGAGCAGTCTGCAGGGTAGTTATCTGGTAAACTGGTAGTTTGACTGTATCTTTAACTATAACTGCAGTGTAGAGCATTCTGCAGGGTAGTTATCTGGTAAACTGGTAGTTTGACTGTATCTTTAACTATAACTGCAGTGTAGAGCATTCTGCAGGGTAGTTATCTGGTAAACTGGTAGTTTGACTGTATCTTTAACTATAACTGCAGTGTAGAGCATTCTGCAGGGTAGTTATCTGGTAAACTGGTAGTTTGACTGTATCTTTAACTATAACTGCAGTGTAGAGCATTCTGCAGGGTAGTTATCTGGTAAAGTGGTAGTTTGACTTATCTTTAACTATAACTGCAGTGTAGAGCATTCTGTAGAGTGTAAACTGGTAGTTTGACTGTATCTAACTCTCTTAGTTCAATATCTTGAAGGAGAGGTATCTATAGTTGATGATCTCACCAAATACTGCTATTTATAAGTATGTCTCACTATAAATATGTCTCATTGATAATTCGAATCGTCTGATCATTGATGGTTACCGCAGCAACTGGGTGGCAAAAAAAGCAAATTACTGAAACATGTACTCCAATATCGTGTCCCCTCTCTCTCTCTCTCTCTCTCTCTCTCTCTCTCTCTCTCTCTCTCTCTCTCTCTCTCTCTCTCTCTCTCTCTCTCTCTCTCTCTCTCTCTCTCTCTCTCTCTCTCTCTCTCTCTCTCTCTCTCTCTCTCTCTCTCTCTCTCTCTCTCTCTCTCTCTCTCTCTCTCCTCTCTCTCTCCCCTCTCTCTCTCTCTCTCTCTCTCTCTCTCTCTCTCTCTCTCTCTCTCTCCCCTCTCTCTCTCTCTCTCTCTCTCTCTCTCTCTCTCTCTCCCCCTCTCTCTCTCTCTCTCTCTCTCTCTCTCTCTCTCTCTCTCTCTCTCTCTCTCTCTCTCTCTCTCTCTCTCTCTCTTTCCCTCTCCTCAATACCTGCCACTTTGTAATTTTACCCTTATTTATTTATAGACAGAATGTCCCTCCTTTTCTCTTTTCCAAACCACTAATTAGTGCTCCAATTTCTGTAGGATGTTACAGTGTTATATTCATGTTATATTCTGCCATGTTATCCCTTTTTTGTCTCCTCAAATACTACTTTAATTGTTACTATCGAGAGCTATATAATTTTGACTTTTCTCTTTTGCTAATAATATTTACTAGCGATATCATTGCATAATTTTGTGTTCATTCGGGACGAGTTTTGATTAGAGTGCGCTATTTATTTTAAATTTTCCTTTGTTTTAAAGTTTTCGCCCAAGATTAGAATTTGACTTTAAAGCTTATTCTAGATATATTATATAATACTAGAAAGCCCGTGATCACATGGAGAAAGGTAATAGTATTCTTTGGTAGTTCGTTTTTATCGCATCAAAAAATATCCGTCACAACCGAATAATTACAAATTACAGCCCATTAAAATGTAGTTCGCACTGAACAGTGAACACAACGTAATTACCACAAACCGATAACAATCTTTCATGCACGTGCACGTGCGTGTAACAACCCTCGTTACTACGGTTACCATATAACTTCCTATTTCTCATCTAATTTGCACGTGGGCGGTCGTACAGCAGAAATAATTCTCTGAATTATAGTAGAGATATATGTATAATGTATAGTAAAAACCCTATTTACTACGGACTTAAGGGAAGGAAAAACCAGCGGTAAATCGGGGTTTCCAGTAAATCGGGACGTAATAAATATGGGGTTTACTTAAATACTGTATAAGGCTAATCTACAAGTTTCATAACGCTTTGAATTGATTTATTCTATTTCTAAATTCAGTTTTAAAAGTTTCCCAAGTCTTTGTCGGAAACCTCTGGTACCAATCTTGAAGATTGAATTGATTTCACATAATCGAGTTAAAAAATATTTATGTCTTCGTTCCCTTGCAGATCAGAGTAAATATCAACAAAGACTTGATTCAATTTTTTTTTGGTTTTTCTTGTCGTTAAGTATTATCTGTAATGATAGTGAATTTCGTTTTGATGAATTTAGGATTTTCTCCCTTTGGTAATGGTTTATTTGGTGCATGCTGCATTGGTGCATTTTCGTATTTGTGCCACTAAATTGGTTACTCCTAAAATGATTTAAATTCTTACATACTCAAAGTTAAGTGATATTCGTTTAACATATATATTTGTTAACAATTCTCCTAAAAACTTATTATTCATTCAATTTGCTTTCAACGTAATACTTGAATCTTAGTGCGATAGATGATACCTTTTTGCACACAAGTTTTTTGCAAGTTTTTGCCATCATGTCCAAAACCTTCAACGGAAATTATCGCGTTGCAACCCAGGCCAACTGTATGCTAACTTTCAATTTTTCTATAATTTTGAGGTGGGGCTCTGACACAAAGCTGAAACAGTAACATGCACAATTCACATTTTAAGCGGGCATATCCTGTCTAAACCCAGGATACACTACAAGAAGAATTTGTTTTAACTTTGTATGAATGAAAAGCATTAATATAAGGACAGTTTCTTATCACTTTCATAATTATGGAAGTTTTTGGCAATTTAAACCTCCCAAGTCGTACTCAAACACTTTTAGTTGCAGTTTTATCAAGATGCATAGTTGATAATTTCATTGTTTGCTCTAGATCTTTTGGCCGGAAATTTTGTTCCGGACAACGTGGCAACAACTTGCAATATTTATTGTTTGTAAATGTAGCGCGCGGCGCCCCTCATCCCAAACCGTGCCAAGTTGTTAAACCTTGGCCATGTTAAGCACGCTCGTTCTTATACTTATCGTGCAGAATTTAGGGATAATTAGGGGCACAATTGTATTACAGGTGCCCTCACCCCTGCAAGTTACTTTACAACGACTCTCACAGATGTTTTATAATCGGTGACTGGGCTCTCTCTCCCTTCTTACACCCTCTGTACACCACACACTTGTTGCTAGATTTAAGGACGTAATGGGGCTTGTGATATAGCGGGCTAGTGTAGGCTAGAAGCAGTCTCTCTCTCTCTCACTCTCACACATTGTCTTTTGTTATGTAATGCCATGCTACATGTAACCCATTCTCTCTCTTCTGTGACTCTTGACTGTAATCAAACCATGAGCCTTGGTCCGGCCGAGCCGCAGGATGAAGATTCTAACGAAAGCTTCAAATCGAATGCAACACTGGAACTTGAATACTCGTTTGTTCCATGCCCGAAAAAGACTGTATTTGTGAGCTTGAAAAGCATGCTTATCAAACGAACTAATATCAGAGATGAATCTCAGAGAGGTCCGTGTCGATTGATGAATAGTATTGTGGAAGATCGAGTTGTACCCGCAGTTTGTGACTCCTCCACATCTGATCCCTTCTGTGGTGTTGGTGCAGCTGCTGATAGTTTTGTTGATGTCGATTCATCTGTTGTAGTTGTTGTCAGCTCAGATGTGATCACTGAAGACTCAAAATGCATCCCTGAAGAATCAAAATTTACCCCTGAAGTGTCAGAACATAATCATATAGAGTCAATATTTCATCCTAAAGAGACACATTTAAAACCTGAAATATCACATTTTAAATCTGAGGAATTAAATATGAACCCTGAAGATACCTCCAATCTGAACCCTCAAGACTTCTTTGACTACGAATTCCCACAATCAGAAACAGATACTGTTAACGTAGAAACCGTAGAACCAACAGAATTCAGTGTGAAGGAAGAAAACGTAGAACCAACAGAATTTAATGTGAAGGAAGAAAACGTAGAACCTGCAGAAATTACTGTGAAGGAAGAGAAAATCGAACCAACGGTATCAAATTGTGAAACAGAAAACAGCATTTTGTCAACTGAAATGGGGCATGGTGCTGAACCTTGTACTGTTGTGATGACTGAGGATGTTCTGTGTGACATACAAGCAAATTATACCATAAGTGAAATGGAATCCACATCAGACGTGAAACCAGACTCTCACGATTCAACAAGGATAGACGAAAGTGTGTCTAAAGATAAAGTAAAAATGTCTCGAAGCGAACGATCCCGGTCGAAAAAGTGTTCTTATTCAAAGTCTAAGTCTAGGCGTTCCTGCTCTAAATCAAGAAAGCGATCAAAATCACGATCCAAGTCAAAGAACAGCACTCGTCGGAAGTCTAGGTCAGTATCTAGAAACAGGTATCGATCAAGAAGATCAAGATCCAAAGGAAAACATCCAAAGTCAAGAAACAGAAGAAGGAGCAGGTCGAGATCCAGGCCAAGAAGGAAGCCAAGGTCACTTTCAATCTCATTTAAAAAGTCGAGATCTCGTTCTAGGAGAAAGTCACCACCGCGTTCCAAAAGGAAATCAAGATCACGTTCGAGAAAGAAATCTAGGTCACGCTCAAGGAGAAAATCACTATCCCATTCAAAGAGGAAATTCAGAGAAATATCGAATTCAAGGTCCAGAAGAAAATCCAGATCAAAATCGCCTCACAAGTCGCTTAAAAGTTCTCCAAAAGTAGAAAATTCTACCCTTCCAATTGCTGACCTGAATGACATCGCATCAATGATAAAAATTGAAGATGTACTCCTCCCCAGTACGAGTGGTGACCAGAACGAGAGTGCACCTATAATCAAAGAAGAAATTGAAAACCCTGCTGAATCTGTATTTATAAAATCCGAGACAATGGATCCACCTGAAGAACAGAAGAGTATTTTGTCATGTGACCCCACTCCCAAACCAGCTAACATTACCCTAAGATTAATGAAGATGGCTTCAGAAGAGTCAGAAGCAGTACCTTGCAGTTCTAAATGTGAACAGAAACCCCCATCCTCTGATCCCATCAAATTGAGGGACAAATCGAGATCTAGGTCTAGGAAAAGGTCTGACAGAAAGTCTAGATCAAGGTCTAGAGGGAGAGCAGATAGTGGTGGTAAAAGAGATGGATTGCAAGGTTTCTATTACAGTAGGTACGAAGTTATGAAACAAAGAATACTAAACACACCCATCAAGGATTTTCAAAACATATCCAAGATGTCTGGAATGTCCTCTGATGGATTCTTCAACTGCGAGGGAACGAATATAGGGATACCTGGGGCAAACAAGGATGATGAGTCTGATGAGTTTGTTCTCCCTCCACTAAATTTAAGGGTAACTACATTTTTATTTTTACAGCTATTTCCTTGATCTGCTTCAAATTATTGGTGTTTCTCACTGCGTATTTTCCCATCTAATATGCGCTATACTTGATTTTTTCGCATTACTTTCTAAGATGAAATTATCGGCGGACAGTGGTCTGTTTTACCCGTGGGTATATTATTTTGCTTGAAAAATCACTGATAACACCTTTTAGGTTTTCGTTGCTGCTGATCATAATAAGAACATCTTTTCAACGATAGCACATTGCTGTTTCCACAATAACTGTCTCTTACCTCTACCTATACGATAACCTTTTTACTGAGACATGATTCTCGTTAAGTATATTCGAGGATTGTACGGCCATGGTTACGAACGAGAGTAACTACTCTTGTTCGCGTGAGTGTGAAATTACACGCAATACACTGGCTGATGTGGTGTGATGGAGAGTAAAGAGGGGGATTACATCCGTTTTGTGTACAATAAGTAGCTCCAGTTTAGTCTACTACACGTGTCGGCAGATTAGTCTAAATCTCTAGACCACGATATTTGGTCTTCCCGTGAGATGCAGAACAAAGGAGATACTACAATGACAACTCGCTGTTTTCTACCATATCACTCTTAAACACAAGGAAATATTTGGTAACTGCACTCGGAGGAGGGGCTCATGCTCGTGAACTTGTAGATTGTAGAAAGTGTTTGTGTCCTTGATTCTGTGTCACCCCCTTTAGTCCAGTAGTAGAATGGTAGAATTATTATTTCAATATATGGGTTAATTTCTGTCCGATATTTGCTATTTGTATCATATCGTATGTCTTTTGCATCATCTCTTTTTCTAGCCAAAATAAAATCATTCGAAATCAGATTATAAAAGCCAAATAATGATTTTCCCTCTTTTCCTAACCACGAACTTCCCTCAGGCGACTAGTGGAAGACCTAGCTCCATGGTTTGGGTAGGTGGATTACCTGAAGGATACACCAAAGCAGAAGTGGAACAAGCCTTTGATAACTTCGGGGCCATATCTAATATAGTGGTGTCGAAGTCTAGAGCCGCTGGAGGCAGTTACACCCCTGGATACGCTTTCATAGAGTTTAAGAAAAAGTAAGTTTTCTCTCGTTGATCAAATGTCCTAATTTGTGTATGCCATCTGCTGCTCGGCTAATTAGTAATTATATAGCCGAGATCACGGGCCACTCTATTGTGTCTTGTAGACAGGCTGTACAATCTCTCTGAGTATAATTAGAACAGAGGATGCATGATATTATTATTGAGAATGGGGGATATGACTATTCATATTGTGCTCTGCTCCTTGATTAATGATTATGTAATTACTCTAATTACGACGCTATGCCAGTTAAGTTGGTCACGACAATAAGTCCTGACCACCTTAGCAACTGACGTTAAACCCTAGCATTTCCTTGACAGAACATTCAAGTCCAAACCCATCTTAACAGTAGCCAATACGATTTGTTCGATGAAGCAAATGAGAAATGAAACAAATACATTTGAAACTGAAAAGAAATAAATTTAAAACGTTGAAACTGATCTTCTACTTATTTCAGATCAGCGGCAGAGGCAGCAGTTGCGTTGATGGACCAGAAAAGAGTTAAAGGATGCACTATTAAGGTGGAATTTGCTCGGTCTCGACACATGATGGCCCCTACCAGAATGAGTCGCAGTCCTAGCCTTCCTCGTAAGAAGATGAAGAAGCGAGACTCTTCTAGCTCTAGCTCTGCTGCGTCGGCTTCCTCTTCCAGTGAAGATGACGGAAGCGATTCCGGTACTGAGCGAAAGAAGAAACTAAAGCGTAAGATGAAAAAACTAAAGATGGAGCTGAAAATAGAAAAGAAAATGAAGCAGGCACAAGCTTCCATGGAACAGCCGCCAGCAATACCCATGGAATTGATTCAGCAGCCGGACTTTTCCGGACATACTCCGGATATGAGTTCGATGATGTCTTCTGGAGATATCAGAACTCCGAAACTCGGATCTCATGAACCCTCTCCAGAAATCAAAAAGAAGAAAAAGGGTTCAGATACGAGTAGCTCCGACAGTGCTAGTGAAGAAGAAATGACGAAAAAGAGGAAGAAAAAGATGAAAAAGAAGAAAGATTCATCTGATGAGGAACCGCCTAAGAAGAGCAAGAAGAAGCAAAAGAAGGTGGAATCGGATTCTTCGGAGTCAGAATCAGACGATCCTTCTAGAAAAGAGCGGAGAAGAAAGATCGAAAAACTGAAGCTTCTGAAAACAGCTATGATGAAGGAATTCAAGAACAGCGACGATTCATCTGACTCAGCTGCGGAAAAGAAAGCGAGAAAATCGAAGAAAGATCTGAAAAAGGCTAAACTCATGAAGCTCATGGACAAATTTTTAAGTGAAGAGAACTCTGACGCAGAAGAGGACAGTGATGCTGGCAAGAAGAAAAAGAAGAAAAAAGCGCCCAAAAAGAAAAAACGAGCAAAATCTTCCTCCAGTGAGTCTGAGAGCGGTTCGGATATGTCAGATTTGGGATTGAAACTTTCAAAGAAAGAAAGAAAAATTCTAGAGAAAAAAGCAAAAGAGAAGATCATTAAGAAAGCCTTAGCAAAGGCTGCAAAGAAAAGTTGCAAAAAGAAAAAAAGTCTGCAGAAAAGGAGGCCTCAGTTGAAGCTGAAAAGGGGAAAAAGAAAAAGAAGAAGAAAGATGAGGAAGAGGATAACTCAACACAATCAGGACAGTCTGATAGCGATGATGGTAAAGGAGGGAAACGTAAGGAGAAAAAAAGAAAGAAAAAGGAGAAAATGTCCCCTAGTGTAGAAAGAGAGGCTGAGAACGTTGACGAACGGGCAGAAGATCCTGGTAGATCAAATCCTGAAGTGGAACCTGAGGAGGAAACAAATGTTGGACGGGTGAAAAATGGTAGCAAAGCGAGCTCTTCTAAGTGGGACGCCTCAAGAAGCCCTAGTCCTGAAAAAGAAAACAAGACCAGCAGGCGGGTACATGACGAAACAGAAACCTCCGAGAAACCAGATGGGCCCAACTTTGGTCGAGGAGCAGCTCACTACAGAAATCTGGCAATTAAGACTGATTTTGACAAAGGTAAAAGATCAAAATCGAGGGGTTCTGACTCAGATGCATCTCAAGAACGATCCAGGAACTACAGAGGTCGATCCTCTTCGAACGATTCCAAAGAGAGGTCAGCTTCTTCCAGACGTGGCAGGTTGGTTTGAAATACGGATACATCATTGTCATACCTTGAATTAAAGATACATCATCTACGAACTGTTCGAACTTTTATCCTCTAACTTTTTATTAAGTCTAACTTTTAAACCGCTTTTCGTTTAACCCACCTGTTTCAGGTCTTCGTCTCCAGTGAAAGAGAGAAGTAGATCAGTTTCACGAGAAAGGAATAGAAGGCGTTCTCGTAAATCAGGTAAACAACAATTTTATCTAGTTTTTATTTAAGGTTGTATGGTTTTTTGGCTCTCTTTCAAGTCTCAATTCATGGGTAAATTGGCTGAATCCAATTATTTATAATATACGTATCATACCTTACATCTTCTATTATCATAATATTATCATTCTTCGATTGGCTACTTTATCCAATTTCTGTGCTATTTTAATAATAGATCTATAACGCTAACTCAATGACTATACTTAACTTCAGTCACTAAAAAAACTGCTAAATCCTCTTAACTATCAACATTTTAGGTTCTCTTAAACGTAGCACTAGTATCCTACAAACACGCGGTATTGGAATTGGTATTTGAGAGTTCTGTATTACAGGCAGCCGATCAGACGACGATTATGACTCTAGGAACAGGGATCACCGCACTACTAACTACCACGATAACCGCAATTACCGCGGACGGGGCGGTGGTTACCGCGGCCGGGGCTACTACAACAATTACAAACCCTACAACAACTACAACCCGAGATACCGCGGACGAGGGCGGTTCAACAACTACCGTGGTAACTTCTACAACAATAACTACAACAACAACAACAACAACAACAGATACGCGGAGAGTAAGTATGACCGAGACGTGAAGGAGTACCGGGACCGAAGAAAGAGACACTCTTCCTCCAGAAGCAGGTCACGCGACAGACCCTCGTCCAGCCGGGACAGAAGGAGCAAGTCACGTGAGAGGAACAGGAGGTCACGATCACGTGACAGTGATCACAGGGAGCACAAGAGGGAGGTGAAGATGGATGAGGGGCAGCAGGACCGGGGCCCGGAGAACAGTTCCTCGGCAGCGCCTCACAGCTCAGAGGATCCCATTCCTACACATTCCGAGTTCGAGAGTCAGCAGCCGGAGGTTACCATTGATATTGAGTCCTTGGGCTGATAGACTGTTTTGTATCCCATCAGATCTGTGATTATCTTTTATATTGTTAATATTAATCGCTAAGTTTGTCGTATGCGAGACTACGTTTTTTCATTTTATTTAATGGCACAAACACCATTGTGTTATGTGTATTGGAATCTTGTGATAGTGATAGTTGTTACACTTTCAGTAATGTTTTTGGTGTCATGAATGTGATGGTTCGTTCTTAAGTTTAAGCTTTACTTTTAAATTTTAAATATCTTCACCAACACTTTAGTTAAATTACAACATGTTTTTCAGAGGTTTATTAATGGAGCCGGTTATACGCAACTCGTTATCATTGCTTTTTCCTTATTTGAGCTTTTGGTTTTTAGTTTTGCAGATATGTTATAACGGTAACGTTAGTTATAATAAGTAGTAATTTGTTATATTCTACCGTTATTATCAATTGAAAACGGATTTGTTTATGGTCCTTTTCTACGCGATTGAATTTGAATACATTTATGCTGGTAGCTTCAGATTTGACTTTTTGATGTGCGTTTATTTTTCAAATGATTATTTATCAACCATAAAGATATGACTGTTTTATTTGTTTATCGGACCAGTGGCGCGGCGGGAGGAGGGGGATATCAAATCGCATGACTTTCACATAGCCATGTGTATACGCGTACTGCAAAACTACTGAACCAAAATACCTTACTCCGCGTCAGTCACACCCAGGAACCCTTACAGTTACAGTTACTGGTAGGGGTAGTAACTGGAGGACTTCGCCGCGCGAACTAGCATTCTTATAGCATTCATCTTCGTCGATCTCGATGGGTTGACATCGTCAATCAAAATAACTCTACACTCTATCTTCTAAATTTTTCTAAAAGTTGATATGAATCGATGTATTTTTGGACGCTGATTCCGAATCACCCTCCATACATGACATATATCCAAGGGTAAAAATGCTCCCCTGGCGAGACATTGGCGAAAAACTGTCTCGATCACGTGATATGACCATATATAATGATATTAGTATTACTATTAGGAAGTTGGTCTAATTTCTCGTCACGGTTAGGGTTTCAGAATATGCTTTTGTTTGGGATTGGCTTAAGGTTAGGAATAGGATCAGATTAGAGTATTAGGGTTTCGAATTACCAATTACTGGGCCGCGTTCAGCCTGTCATTCCGCCTAATCTCTATTCGGCGTTTATCTCTACTCTCTATCATGTTTATGAACATGATAGCCTGAGGTCCCCAGGTAAGGTTTCGAATAGTCGTTCAGGGTCAGCTAGACTTAGAGAACGGGTTGAAAAAGTCACCTGACAGTCGAGTGATTAATCATCATCCTAAAACTGTAGAACTAGAAGTACCATGTGTCTGACGTTATTAACATTATTTTGATCTCCCTAGGTTGTAGGTGATGCTCCCTTGCCGTAAAAAGCCGAACTAGTCACAAGCAGATCGCCTTGAGATGAGTTGTTTCCATTTTTCATGGCCACCATCAATCTTAACATTCTACATTGTGACTTTATACCATCATCACTGACTCTGTGGAGCAGGGACTTTCTCGACGTTGGTATTTTCAGTTCTCGGAACCGCTGCACCAGAATACAAGACCAAGATTGCTGAAAAAGGCAATACTCATACAGCAACGTTCCCAATGGCAACCGGATTCGAACTAAGATAAGTTTCCTTAGTCTTGAATAGATACTATTATGTCTGAGAGAGACACGAAATAAAGTGAAAGACATAAGCGAGGACTTCAAATTAGATTGTAATGAAGCTAGTAGGGCCTGTCGTGATATCATGGATCGTTTAGGTTCCACCAGGATATGGTAGTCCTGATAATTCTGCGGCCTCTATGTATCGTCATCTCGCTCAACTCTTTTAGAATCTTGGCATGCGAAGCCTTCCAGACATTGATTGGGTCAACAAGGTGTCGTACGTCACCTCAAGATCGGTGACAGGGGGCTGACCAGCTTCAGAAGCTAGTCTAGGTAATATCTAATATTGTCTTGATGTATTGTATAGCATTGATATTGGCGAAACAAGAAACACAATTGTCGGGCGTGAGGACTCCTAAAGCTACAATTAGTGTATCCCTTCTGTAACGTCCTGGACATATGTATGAACATTTTCTTAGGGGTTGTCCTGATGATTTCATCCTCACGAAGGGGCACTTGCGCACAGTTCCAAGTATAACTCAATAATGTGATTCGAATTCCGGAGACATGGCAATACATTTAATGATAAGCTTGATAACCATCAACCAATTTGCCCCAACCTACGACATTCAGAAAATGCACCACCTAATGCAAAATGTGGGTTATTCTTACTGATATGAACTGCAAAATTAGGACCTGATGTATACGAAGCTGTCATCAAGGACTCGCGTGCGCGGCGCAATATTCCACAAAAATGTTTGGAAACTTGGAAGCTCCAAGCGGTTTTGATTCCGCGCCTTACGCAAAGTAAGGTCGCCACGATATTTTGCCACAATAAGGGAATGATTTGAGTAACAAATCTAAACTTCTTGCATCGGTTCGTTAAAAATGAAACAATATCTTCATTAGATAAAAAAATCCTTAATAAATTAACGATATCGTCGAAGGGAAAGAGTGTTTCGTCGCTTCCAGTTAGCACGTCTTGAACTGCCGATGACCTTGGCGTGTCTGTGTCCTTTGCCGACTCCTCTGTTCTTGCGACCAGCGGATGTGAGTCCTCTCAATTCACGATGTTTGTGTACGGCGTTACATATCCAGTTGAGTCTGGCGTCACGTCTGACTGCCTTGTGTTGTGGGTCAACACAGATTACCTCGTAGTATTTGTATACGGCGTCTTGTCCCACCCAGTAGCTGAGGGAAAGTTTAGTTAGTCCTGCCCGACGTCATTGTACATTATTAACAATTTTAGCAATACAATAAAATGAACTTATCCAAGAGATTGGGAATGCAATTCCTTAATCCACCTAATTAATGGATGCAAAAATTACCCGGCCGCCATTTACTGAATACCTTGCATCAACCAATCAAAATCGAGAATTGATATCACGTGTCAAGATATTTGGCAGTTACCTGTTGAGGACACGGAGACCACCACAGGCACGTCCAACCCTCTCTTCAGCAACAGACTGGATAGATCTCTGGAATTTAAGTTGGTTTACACCAGCAGTTTTGGGCTTGCCGTAGCAGATACCCTTAGCGACGGGCTTCTTACGTCCTCCCCTCCTGACTCGAGTACGGTAGATACAGACTCCCTGCTTGTTCTTGTATCCAAGTCTGCGGGCCTTGTCTGGGCGAGTTGGTCTGAGGAAAACAGTTATTATTATGACGTCATCATGAATAGTTACATGGTGTAGTTTACACGTGATTAAAGTTATATCAGGAATGTAATCAACTGAAATGAGCCTTACTGATTATACGATATTAGTTCAACATATCCGCGAACAAAATGGATTTTTTAAAAAATTATCCCCAGGAGAGCTCATGTTACATTCTCGAAAAAAGGGCCTCCGATAAGCAGAAAATTTCAAAGACAATAACACAATTTTTGGAGATATAAATGAATATCACGAAGGAATTCAACTACAATGATAGAACTATTTAGCAACACAGAACAATCCAAAGGAAATAATCACCCAAGTGAATCACCCTCCAAGACTTAACAAGCACATACCTGGAGGCTCGGTGAATAGCAGCGAGCTGTCTGAACTGCCAGCACCTGACTCTCAGAAGAAACCTCATGAGGTCACTCTGCTTCTTCTTGTAGAGCTCCTCCATGTACTTGTAGGCACCCATGTTGGCAGCTACTTTAATGTTAGCGGTTAGTTTATTTATAATTTCAATGAATTACAATTTAATTCAAGTCAACCAAATGATTTCGTTGCAACAAATACACTCTGACCCACGGGTTAACGGGTAATATGTAGATATAAACGTAGAAAATATAGTGATTAAACTAAATGCATTCAAGATACTTTGTATTTAAATATGACTGAGAAATAATGTGTTATGGCGAGAAGCAGCGTAAGACATCAAAATCACCCTTATTACAGAACACGTCTGGATACCAATGACACTCTGATCTTAAGCAATAATACAACATCTTTTTAATAAGAATCAAGCGCAAATATCAACACAACAGCTTACGCGTAAGGAACAAATTCTTGAAGGATATTTTATTTTACAATGCTAGTGAATGATACATCTGTTTCAAGAAAATATGTACAAAAATAAAAGGAATAAAAGGGTCAAAGTTTCAAATAAACTCATAAAAGAGGATAAAATGTAGCCTTGTGATCCAGCACAAATTTGCAGAACAGCGTAAAATTCAACACGAAAGCCTATTCGTAGATGTCTTTATAAGCAGTCAGACTATAATCGACAACCTCATCAGGCTTAAACCACATTTTGATCTCATCCTGTGCAGTTTCCACAGAGTCGGAGCCATGGCAAACATTCTTACCCATATCAATACAATAATCTCCCCTGATACTACCAGGCTTAGATTTGAGAGGATCAGTCTCGCCCAACATAGCTCTGCCCTGTTTCACAACGTCTTTACCTTGCCAGCACATCGATACAACTGGTCCACTGGTCATAAAGTTGATAAGACCGGGGAAGAAAGCTTTTGTCTTCAATTCTCCGTAATGCTCCTCTAAAAGTTCCTTTGAGGCTGTTCTCATTTTCAGACCACAAAGTTGGTAACCCCTCTTCTCAAATCTGGAGATTATGTTGCCAACAAGGCCTCGTTGAACCCCATCGGGTTTCACCATGATGTATGTTCTCTCTGCATTTTTAGCCATTGCACCTGACTGAGATTTGCAAATTGATCAGAATAAAACATGAAGCGGCGGAACTGTAAGAGTATATCACTGAAAGAGGCCTCAAATAAAAAGAATTAACATTTAAAACACCTACTCTGCCGTTTTCTGACAAAAGTGCTTAAGTAACATTTTGGAAATTTCGGGTTTTTTGGTCCAACTTTTGTTTTTGGGTCGAGAACTATCCCTGAGGACCATTGGATAGATTCGCCGACCCCCCGAAACCCCCTTTTTGGAACCCCCTAAAATGCAAAATATGGTCATTTTTCTGAGAAAAGTGCTTAAGTAACATTTTGGAAAACGGGTGCCGTTTATCTCGAAAACGGTGCCATTTCGGGAACTGAAAACGGTGGCATTGTTTTTTACGCCCAAAACTGGCCTAGTGACGGTAATTTGGTGATCGTGGGTCTTCTGGCCTGGGAGAAAACAATTTATGTCACTTAAGCACTTTTGTGAAAACGGGCTCGTTTTCTCACAAAAGTGCTTAAGTGCCATTATACGTTTAATTAAATGTTGATACTGCCAACTGAAACTATATAATCGGTACTCACAAATCTAAATTTTCACGGCGGATCGATTGGTGATGGTCATAAACTTCAGAAACGCTAGCTTCGCCGTCAAAATTGCCGATTTGTCAATGCAGAACGTTTCAAAATATACGTCATAATTTGCTTTAAAATTTTGTATTCTCTTATAAGTTGAGACTGGCGGGATTATCGACAGGCAAGGGAACATTACCAAAGAGATAGAAGCGATTTGCTTCACTGCTCCTACTCTGTTGATATGGAGAAAGTTCTTTTACTACCACACATGTAGTACAAGGAGTACAAGGAGGCGATTTTTACAAGACGCCTTGTCACATTTAACGAGACCTTCGCGAGGCTGGGGTCAGACGGAGCTCCTTTAGCGATTCTTTGGAATGAGTCAATCGCAGGAAGGAAAGATGAGAATGTGTCCTCGACTTGGATAAGGGCAATACAAATTTTTGCCAGTTAGTTGGCAAGATTGGTAGCAGGGAGATCATTTTTTGGGCAGACAATTGTTCTGCTCAAAACAAGTGTTGGACTTTATTTACTGCCCTATGTTCATCAACAGCCCAGATGTTGACCTGGACAAGATAACGGTCAAGTATCCCCAGTATCTAAAGCGAGTGCACACCTTTATGAGTGCAGACTCATTCCACCATAAAGTGGAGTTGTCCATTAAACAATCAGGTCAACTTCATGATTATAAGGACTTTGTTCAGGCAGTTGAACAGGTGGGTTTTGCGATAAGCATGAACTGCACATACTTTGAATCGTGGCCAAGGTCCTACGGAGCAAGCAACTAAAAAACTAAAGATGTTAAAGTTGTAAGTTTCCAGCGTGGGTCTGTAGAAATGGAATGGAAAACAAATCATGACGAGGTTTCCTTTCATTTCACTCCATTTCTCAGACAAAAAGACGAGAGACTCATTTCCATATGCATAGGCCAGGTTGCAAAATAGCTCTCGCCCAGGAAGAGCCCCGGGGGATAGCTACTCCCAAAAAACAAGACATTATACGTAAACTGTGCAGGCTTATGGCCCCGAGTAGTAGGGTATTCTGGATGAACTTGCCTGATAGTACAGCTATATAACTGATATCTTAATCGAGTGTTTGACTAAAAATCAACTATTTCTTGTATTATTTACCATTTATTTATGTACAGCATTACTTACAATTATGTTACATTTTTATACGCTTGTTTTTCTTTGCCTCGCGTTACGATATCAATAATTCGCAAATCATTGGTCTTTATGAAGAAAGCCTCATCTGAGTTCTTAATTTAATTTCTAAAGAAAGCAACTTATTTATTATTATCCCGTACTTTCACCAATCAACTCTTCGTTGAAATGCTGGTAGAATTTCGACTATTTTTTAATCCGCTGGGGAGAAGGGAGTGTTTTCGTGTTCTTAAACCACCACCAATCAATTTGTCGTAAAATTTTAGGTCAGAATGATCGCAGATAAAGTTCCCACTAATGTGGCTGTAAGCACTTTTCTCAGAAAACGAAATTTTCTATTTCAGCGTGTCCCCTATTTACAACCAATGTTTCATCACAACAGTTTTAGGCTAATTTTTCGTTTTACTTTCGATGACCAATGGTTTGAACGGGTCATTTTCATCAGAACATGTAGTATTTGCCGATGTGACTGTACTTAAGCACTTTTCTCAGAAAACGAAATTTCAACTTTTCTATTTCAGCGTGTCCCCTATTTACAACCAATGTTTCATCACAACAGTTTTAGGCTAATTTTTCGTTTTACTTTCGATGACCAATGGTTTGAACGGGTAATTTTCATCAGAACATGTAGTATTTGCCGATGTGACTGTACTTAAGCACTTTTCTAAGAAATTCAAACTATAATTTGTGATTTTGAGGCACTTTCCGAGAAGTTAGGATGATGAAACCTTGTCAGAAGTCTCAAAAGTCGACAAAGTACCTTAGAAACATAGTGGGTGCAGTTTAAATTGGACAGCAGCTAGCCCAGAGCAATTACAGAATTGAAATCTTTAAAGTAAATTTGCACAAAATGAACCTTGTGTTACTTAAGCACTTTTGTCAGAAAACGGCAGTACTGCAGATGATGCGTAATGCCCTTTCTCAAAGACAGCAGTACAAGAAAACAATAGTTTGCTTGTGAGATGAATATATAACTATAAGCAGTGGCAGCATCTTCCAATAGCAAGGCCTGTTTTTAACCAGATTCCATGAACCATGAAATTTGGGTCAATTGATGACAAAAATAATAGAACATATTTTTATTTTTCATCTTGCCATTCATTTAGTGGAGACTGAAAAGTCTGGGTGAACATTTGGTTAATATCGCTATTTCCACGGCCAATCAATATATCTAAGTCAAATTTATACCAAGTTCGAACTAAAGACCATAAAACATAGACAGCTACTAGAGGGATAGGGCTATTAGTGGTATGCCTTAGTACAATTATAGGTCAAATCATATCAGTACAATAATAGAACAAATATTTAATAAAACAAATATTTATTTTTACGGCACAATCAAACAATATCAATAATAAATAAATCAGGGGAGGTTTGAAGAGGTTTCAAGTGCCGAAGGCCACTGCTTATCTTTAGGATTTGAGAGTGACCTGTGCTTGAAACCCCCTCAACCATCCACTACGTCAATATACTTATTATACAAATATAGAAAAATATAATAATATTGCTTATTGGTCTAGTTTGGTGACACAGGAGAGCCCAGTTGAGTTTTAGTTAAGGTTTTAAATCATAGTTTAAAAGGTTGGCCATGTTTCATATCATGGCAGAGAGAGATATCATGTGTGTGTATAGATTAGTTACCATGTTTTAGGGTCATCTCGATTTTGGAGGGATAGCAAGTGCTTTTTAAGGTTAGATTTAATAATACCTGACGAGGCTGATAAGTCTGAATTTTTGGAAGAACCCGGGATTATTATCCCATCTTCATTAGCATCACATATTTCGAATACATAGGGGATGAGATCATTCCAAATGTTCGCTGAGGTGTACAAAAAGTTCTGTTGGGAGATATCTAACCTCAGTAATGGGACAATCAGACGAAGTTTTTCATTTCTAGGACAGAACTTGAAAAAATCTTTAATCGACTGGGGGACATCAAATTTAAGAATTTTGAATAGTTCCACAAATGTATGGTACATGTGCAGATTCTCCAGGTTCATAAGTTTACTCTATTGTAACTCAGCTTTTTGCAGAGATTCAAGTACTAAGTCTAGTACTGCAAATTTAAAATGTAATGCTGTGTATGGTGTCGTGTATTGCTGTTGTTTTCTTGGTTCCACTTCAGTTATGACACATTAGACTCTTACATGTAGGTATCTCAAGAGAAAATAGATATGTTTTGGAAAACTCCTAGAACAACTAAACGTTAAGAGGATAACGAACCCATAAATTGACAAGGGCCTCATTGATTCCATTAAGTAGGTAGCAAGGTTGTATCTTGAGTGGCGGAGAAATCGCACTGAATAGATTATAACATTCAAAATGAGAGTTTTTCATTACACCACTACACCTCAGGCCATTCTAAAATGCTGCGTCTAGAATTATTGTGTATATTATATGGGCAATTCCACGTAGTGTAATTCACACTTTGCACAAAATTTAGCTTTTAATTGCATGCTAATTGTAGGCTAACATTAGCAGCATGATAATATAAAGTCAGAATGAAGTTTAAACGTTTGTGATGATGTGGCAACAAAAGTTTAATGTCTATCTCTTATACTTTTTATGTGAGCAGCATTTTAAAAAGTAGGCGTTATTCACAGGCATAATTTGGTGTTTTAGAAATCTTGCCTTAAAATTGCAATTCGTGCTCCAGTGTAATAGCAGAAGTTACAATAAGGCTTGATCACAATAAAGTACACATTTTTTCAACTTCCTATGTCCTTCCTAACATAAATTTGTGGAATGTGTGTAGTACAGGGACAATATAGGAAGTAAACGTTATTCACATTTGGACGTAGTGTAACTCACACTCTGCCCAGTTGCTCTGTTTGTGCGTTGTATTGATGTTTACTTGTTCTTAATTTGGTTGCTGCTATTGTAAAATGGTGAAGTAGACTGACTATTACTGATTTTAAATTAAATTGTCTACTAATTGGGCCAATTAGATACTGGTAATGGTGTAGATTACACCCTACTGCCATACCACAGTGGTCCGGGCGCCCATGCGAGGTAGACATAAGACATAGGCATGACTAAGGGGTATGATATACCACGAAACATGTATTCTAAGGGTATCTTGCCCCAAAATAACGTTTAAAAAGGTTTTTAGAGTGATTAAATGGATATTTGACCTCAAATATTAATTTTAGCTCATTTTTTGTCAAAAATTGCATTTTTTGGCAATTTTTTGCCATTTTTTAGGACAAACTACAAAAATAAGTTGCAAATTAACTTTGGTAAGCATCTATAAGTTGATCTATCTGTAAGTATAGGACATTTAGAGTAATCCTAGAAAAATGTACAGTGTA